CACTCTGGTACTAATTTGGTGATGATATTTTCGATGAACAGCCGGCCAATTATACGAAGAATGAAAAAATAATATTTATTCGAACTGCTGGGAACGTATTTACCGACGGCGCACTACTATATCTACAAGTTAACGGCTTAGTGACAAGGACATAGTATACTCTACGATTCTAGTCAGTGGGTGATGAATACATATAACACTTTTCCCCTAATGTGTTCTACACAATAAAAATGGAAATTCGCATATAAATGTTCGCGGTCTAAAAAGTGAAATTATAAATCGTAAAAAAAGCTGTAACTGAAAATATATCTTGCCCCTCCTATCTCTCGGCGCAGTGTACGTTCACGTGCTGCGCAATGTGGACATCCGCAGGTTATGTCATCGGCCGCTACGCCCCGTGTATTAATTCGAACATTGCGAAATCCTATTATCTATCGATTTTGTTTCTCCGACTGTACTGACCAAGGATACCGTAATGCATATACATTGGTTACAGTTACGCGCAATTAACTGATTTCGATATTCACCGGCAAGTCAAAGAACAAAAGTAATACAGGTTTTCCCGTTAAACGGCGCGCGTTTGAACCGTTCACTAAACAGGGGAACCGCGCGCACAGGTCGATGGTTCGTGATTCCCTTTTCATTTTGAGCGCGGCCCACTTTCCCACTATCGAACTGGCGCCACGAGAGCAATATGGACTACTCTCGTGATATATATTCGATGGCTGATAGAAATACAGACATACTGTGGATATACAGTACATCCTCGATGAGTGTCATGTAACAATTTAAACGAGTCACTTCTCTCTAGCAGGACAGAGAACCACTGGCGTCGACGGGAAGAACAGATAACCGAGAAACCGATGTAACACAACGGTCCCCCCCAAGTATGCGTGCTATTTCCTCGAGATTATGCACCGTCGAGGCAGGCCGCGACACTTCCTGCGACTATTTCCTGCCACACCGTCATCCCGCGGATCCACGGGACCTCGGCGATTGGATGATCAAGTCAATTGGAATGTCAACGGCCTCGTTCGAATTGGCAAAATGCATTCCGAACGGGAACGTTATGTCTGACGATAACAATGAAATTATTGGGGCGTTGCAATTAAATTCACTTACTCGATGTTTCTGTAAACGTACAGTGAAAAATCACACACGTGTTTCTCAAAGCCATACCAGTGCATAGTCGGGTTAAGTGCTCAGGCGTCTCAGATATCGCCACGTGTGTACTTCTTTTCGCGCATTTTGTTCAGCATCGTTGCTCACTTAACCTATTCCCGATCGAATGGTGGGTGCATACGGTAACTCGATTATGTAATCCTACTCTCCCTGTCATTTAAAACTGCTGTTTACCCTCGCGCGCAACGGCGCAACTCTTGCATCGTTCGAGCTTCGATTATTTCGACAAAATAAACTTATCTAACGGTCACTTTAGGTCGATCATTATCCATTCTTACTGCTTCCGTCCCATCGGTCATGGAGGATGAAGCGCATGGTCTTGAAGTGATAATTTAAAATAGTGTTGCTAATCGAAATTCGGCCATAAAGAGTTAACGAATCTATTTTTCACGAGAAACACATTGCATCGGCGTCCCATAGTCCGCGAGAACGGAAAGCGGAGTCGATGCTACGGAGGAGGTGCGCGAAGGAGGCCGAGCGTGTTCGGAAGCAGCCGAGGCCATCTGTTACGCTCGGTTCCCACGCTTCCGCCGTCGCCTTTCCCCGCCTTTGGACCAGTCCTGGTCGCGTCCTTTTCTTGCCCCCACCTTGCCCTGGCCGAGCCGACACACCGACGACTCTCGCCGGCGGTTTATTTTATACACCCGGCGGAGGAACGCCTTCAACCGCGAGAGTCCTGCAGCAGACAACAGTCTCGTGTGCCGCGAGAGAAGGTTAAACTATGCTCCATTTCGAATAAAAAATAAAAAAAGAGTATTTCGAAGATTTAAACATGGTAATTCCAATTTGTATAATGAAATAACAATTCTTCTTGAACGAGCAAACACTTGACAAACAATTGTTTAATATCATTAACTGTTTAAATTTTATCTTAGATTTTTACTATTATTCAAAAAAATTACGCCCAACTCTGTCCACTTCCAGAGAGGATTCTCACGCCCGGGCAAATATCGCCAAATTCCAAATCCAACCACCCGGCGCGTTAAGTAAAAGTTACTGTTTGGGGTCGCTCGTTGAAAATCGGGCCGGCCAAAGTAGTGATTTCTTTCGGTCCCGCTTTGCACCGCAGCGACACGCTAACGAGAACAAGTGTCTCTCGCAGTTATATACCCCCCTCCCTCGTACCACTTTAATGCGCTACATGACTGGCGAAGAACTTAAATAAACCGTACATTTTATATTGAACTTTAGATTTCTCTGAGTATACACATATATTTGCTGTATAAGCGCGATCGACAAGCCAAGAGTTAGCCTAGCTTTCTCCGGTTTGTTCATCAACCGTTCTTAATACTTCAAACTGGTCCATATACGATTGCTCAGTACAAGGAATGGTTTTTCTCGCAGAAGAAATCTATGTACGGAATTGTATATATAGTATAAGATATTCCTTTCTAATGTATGACTAGTATTTCTCGAGAAGCATGCGCGACACAGTCGTATACTGTCCACCGATGAGTGGAATTGCCCCCACCCCCCATTCAAATAATTATTGTTTTGAAAACTAGCCATTCGATACGATGAAACACGTTATCGTTCCGTTTGCCAAAGGGAAATATCCGCCTGCATGCTGAGGCACGTGCCGCCAACCGTCTGCAGTCGTATACACCATTGTCATCTTCCCAGAGGCTGGTGTTTACACAAACGAACCCCCCCCCCTTCTGTGGACCCCGCAAAAGTTGGCACTCCCGGCTACCACCAATCTTTATGTCCCTCTTTCTCTCTCTGCTCCCCTCGTTTTTAAGCGTGTCCACACAAAGGGAATCGTAAACGCAGCGCACGTGTGTGGTTGAAACGCGCGATGTCAAGGGGGCCGCGCAGCGACGATTAAACCGACCGCAAAAAAGAAATGAACTCGATTCCCCAAATACATACACGCGTGATACGACAGGGGGAACTACGTTAACGTTGTCGAGTGACTGCCCCTCTATTAGCCCATGAATAAATTCGATTTACTTTCGTCACACAGAAAACACACGCGACCAAAGGGAACACGCAACAGATCGGCTACACTGTGTTACCGATGACTTCACTGAAACAGTTTTCGAAACGTCAGTGTAGACTCACCCTAACGAATTAGTGTCGAACTTGTTAGGCACGAATTTAACGACTAGAAGACTCAAAAGATTTAAACCATCTGATTCATAAAAACGGTTTGATTAAATTACAGAAAAATAGGGAACAAGCATCAATGGATGTTTACTTTGAATATGTAATATTATTATTTATTATTATTTGGCGGTATAGAAAAAAAAGGAAACGTCAGTACTGTCAGAACATCTGGTTGCTCTGTCCTCCGTAACAACTACGACAGCGACTCTTTTTACAGCGTTCTTTAACTTCTTCAAACAAAAGATCCACGAAAAAAACAGGTATTACGCACGGTGCTGGTCGTTTATGGGTGAATTTTTGCAAGCTGGGAACAAAGTTACTGCACACGGTAACAAAGTACATTCCGAAGTTGGGGAAAGAATTCTTCGAAAGTGGTATGTTACATGGCGCAATGTATACCACAAAAGATGCGCGCCTTAGACGAGCCGAACAAAGAAACCATTTGGTCATAGAATACCATTGCATGAATACGCTCGAACAGCGAACTGGGAAACCCTCTTTCGATGCTTCGAGTTTTATAGAATGTTTCGTGGCCGCTGGTCATAAGAGCGCTCACGATTCGATAGCCCCGCGCACACGTATTTACTTCGATAAGAGGACAATATACAATGGTGCACTCGCGAGCTTAAATTCGGTTTAACATTTATTTCCGAACTTGTCATAAATTTAGTAAGTGGTAGGAGACTTTTCTTCTACGCCACTTTTTTCCCTAGTGGAAACCGAGTTTGCTCGTCAGTGTACCACGGAAGGGACGGTCTCCGACGTGAGAGATCCGTGCCGACAACGCGACGACACCGATAGGAATCATGAATGGTTCTGTTGTAAACGATAACGAAACGTAACCCCCTCCCCGTTTCCGTTTCGTCCAATAATAGATTTCCCCTGTTCTGCGGTTTCCCCTTATTCGCATGAAGATTAAGTTACACACACGGCTACGCAAGGGAGGTTATAAAGTTGAACACAGCGGAAGGAACGCGTGGGGACGATCGAGATCAAAAATCGATACTTTCTCGAATGGTGATTCTAACGGAATATTCATTTCAGAACTGAAAATGCGAGAAAGTAAATAACTGTACGGGAAGGCGTACGGAACATGCACAACAGAGAGACGCGGAGAATCGAAACGCATATAACCGGCGATTAACCGTAGCTGGTTCAGGCGTATAGCAACAGACCCCGTTATCTGAAACACGTACGACGATAAACTCGAAACTCCGATCCAGTATATTCGTGGAATGCTCTGTGTGCACATTGAAACGCGAATCGTTCGCGAACTGACTGAACACAGGTGGGGACAATAATATGCCTAGAGAAACTTTGTCAAATTCGACAGCCACCGAGCACGTAGTATGAAACTATTGGGTTGAGTCATAAGTACCATCTCGACGATCAGATTTTACTAGGGGAAAAAGTGAAGTAGGGGAAGGGCATCTTATCACTTGGTAAATTAATTTCAGGTACTGAAATAAATGTTAAATCGGATGTTAATTTGGCATAAATTTCAGTAATTCCTAATACCAAGTGGTAGAAGTATGGTAGAAGGCCCCTTCCTGTATGTCACTTTTTTCCCTAGTGGAAACCGAATTTTCACGGCAGGGTACACTACTTATGACTCTGACCTGATATCAAAATCTACCGCGACGCGTCAACGAAACGAAAATACAACCAAACAATCCCAGAAGTATAAATTAAAAAAAAAAATTTCTAACCTCGTCGCTTATAATCGGCGTCTTGTCCATGTTGTCGTTGATCGGGCTGGGTGGCGACGTGGGGCTAGCGCTGGGGCTCACATGAAACCCCTTCGACTCCTTGGAAGGCCTCTGGGGGGACACCCTTGCGGGGAAGCTCAAGGTTTTCGTCCACTGCGATGTACACGACGCGCGTGTGGTGTCGATAAAAGGAACAACAACACACGGTGGAACAGTTCCGATCGGGGGAGAGGGGGGAAGGTGAGCACTCGCGCGGATCCGTTCTCAACAACGAGACCGGTGTACGAACGATGTCAGCATTTGTTTCTATCCCGATTCACCGTTCTCGAATTCACTTTAGGAGCGTTAACCGCGGCCGTTAATAAATATTAATAAGCGTTCGAGAAGATGTGGCTGATGTGTGTATATCCGTGTCGTGACACGCATGGAAACCTCGAGTCAGACGCGCGCGCCAACAAACGCACGCTACCAAGTTTACTGACAGACTGTTCGTACGGTCCGGCCGGGGTCGAGTTCTCGCCGCCGCGGAACGGCGGCGCGGCATGCCTGCTGGACCAAGCGCACTGATTGGTCGGCTCGATCGGAAAGAGACAGAGCTACGGTCGCGCGACAAGGACGGACTGAGGGGAAATAGCCAACAGGATGGTTCAGCGGGCGACGAGAAGAACGAAGACAAACCGAATGGGAATCTCGAGCAACGGAACGAGACAGCGATATCGTTTCCAGAGAAGATGATGGCAATAAGATGGGGTCTTGTTGTTTCACGAGTCTCTTCCTTCGGAGTGAACGAAGGGAAAGAAGAGAGGCGAGACGATCGAGGACTCGTTACATGCGACGAGGACAGAAGTTCGGGTCGACAGTGAATGAAGGAACGTGTGAAAGAGATTATCAGATATGTGGCACAAGTACGGTCGACCGTTTGACTTCACGGATCGCGGTTTAGAAATCGTATAAAGGTTCCATAAAACGATCGGTTTAATGGGAATTTTTGGATTGACACGAGTTCGCTGTTACGACTTGTAACTTATAAGTCCTCCCGGAACGCGTTGCATCCTTCGATTCGCAGAATGTAACTTCCTAGCTGTACAATTTTTGAATGTGTGACGGGGATTACGAGAAAATCGTTCGGTTATTAGAAATATTTCGTTTCTGTTAACAAGAACCATTTAATTACTAGAAATATTTAGGACGAAGCCGAATCTAGAAGTTCTAAATTTCCCAGTTATACGGACTACGTTGTCACGGAAAGATCTAGGCGATTGATCGAGACAATCAGGAGATCGACGGACACAGGTAGTCGTAGTGGGCGTACAATATCAAAGGCAGTAATACTTTTACTGGCACGCTTTCCGAGAGACAAAGAATTTGACCGGTCTCCGACACACCGACGCACGACGATCGGCAAAGAGACAGTCTCGTGTTGCCAACTGCAGATCCGTGGAGGGGAGGGGAGAGCATAACGACATTGTACGGGGCCCGGGGACTGGCGAGGAGACATGTTCCTTACATTCAGCCGTGTTCCAGGCTGTACGTACGCGGACAGGATCTAGCCAGCTGCGGCCTTCTTCGACCTTCCCCCCACCAGGCCCAGAATCGAGCGTTCTGGCCAGGTACACCAACCGGTACCCGGCGTTCTAACAAGGAACATCCGCGACGTCCCCGCCTTCCGATCTCCGTGAGACAGTATCTCTCTCAGAGGACGTTCGAAAACGAGTACACCTGAACATAACATTGTCCCTCGATTACACTACAAAATGATCATCGAGTCTATCAAACGTCCTCGTTACGGTAAACGGACTAAGTACAATAAGCAAAGGTAGGGAGAATTGTCGCCCAATTGCAGGTGCGGCGCAACGGCTGGGTACAGTTACGTACTGTGGTTGACCTCCGGGTCATTGCACGAAACAGAATTCCTAGTAACCTCTAGGAGTGTGGGCTCCTCCTCGATAAGTTCGATCTATCAAAAGTGCACGTGTTTTCCAGATGATCTGGTTCCTTCCAAGATAATATAGGTATTCTTTATGATCGATACTCCGTCCGGTGGTATTTTAAATTCCTGAATCGTTAGTCAGGCTCCTCTTTCACGACCCCCCAATTCAGACGGGCAGAGTTCCGAGCCGGAGTCACTTCACCCTTCAAGACCGTGGGTGTCCGATGCATTCAGAGAGCCAAAGGTGACCACCCCTGGGTTTTTACGGGGAGCATTTGAATGTTTAATTCCGTCAGACCCGCATCCTTCTGGAATTCACACCATCTGTTCCCCATTTCCCAGGTTTCGTTTCTCCAAACACGCCCGACAAAATTCTTTTTCCTCGTCATCGGATAAGCCGGGCCATTGTCTGGGGCCCCTGTTCACGGGTGGGGCGGGTGTCTGTTCTAAATTTCATTGGCGTGCCAAGGGGCGGGTGTCGCTTCTCGAAATTCAGGCCCGTCGTCCCTTTTCGGAATGTCACCATGGTGGACGGTAATTAGGTCGACATATGTTCTCGCGAATATTCCGGGTTGACGGGCGTCATACGCAGCCCCTAACTCCGAGCGAAATTACGGCGCACTGTCGAGGCACAATGAAATCTGCCCGAGTGACCGTAACGGTTGTTGGGACGATTGGTGGTCATTATGTGTTATGTCGGTGGACATATACCTAGGCCCCGGTTACAATTGGGTTTCGCATTTAAAACCATCGACCCATTTAGAACCCCCGTAACTCGCCATTGTTCCATATTCCTGACCGTTTAACAATGTACAATTATACCGAACACAGTTTATTCGTTGTTCATGTCGCCCCACGAATTCGTCGAAGGGACGATCGCTCGGTATACGACCGCGACAACTTCGCATTTGCGTATATAGACGAGTTGAAACACTTTTTTATTTAAACATCCCAACAGGTGCGCCGCGCCAGGTTGCCGTATTCATTTCGCCAGAGACTTACTGTAATTTTACAGACGTGATATTCATGATCGTGCACCTTTCCCGACCCTTTTTATTCGCCGGGCAGGTGTCTTCTCCCCTCCATCACCGCCGTATAGATCAAAATCTCTTCCCCCGGGCTAAATGCGCGACTCTCGGGGCATCTTTTGCTTCGAGCTCCGACCCTTCACGAATTTTTCTGTCGGGCTTCACGGAAAATACGGAGTGTTTCCAAAATGGGGGACCAGACTCCGACAAGAGAATTTATGTCCGATGGACACTCGGAATCGTTCACTTCGCACCTCGAGAACCTTCGGAAAATAACGATATATAACAAAATTGGATCAAGTTAAAATGTATATTTTTTGAAACTTAAATGTAGTAATTTGTTCCTTTTTTTATTTCAACGAAAGAAAGCCTCTTCTCAGTGACGAGTTAAAGATACCTGTGTTCATCACGAAAGAGGACGCGTAATCACCGCCGCTGGTCTCGTTCTCTGCCGGCATAATTCAGCCCACTTTTGCGATACATACGCAGCATATCGCACACGCTAATGTAATTGGTGCGTAACGTTTCTCGTGTCAAGGGATACGGTATCCTTAACAACCAGTTTCTCCGATTTCCAAACACGGTCCCTTAGTCACGGCTTTATCGGGACCGTATGCTCCAGCACGTTGCAGACCTTCCCTTCCCTCTAATTGGAACCAGAGAGAGAGCTCATCAAAGCTCCCCTATGCGCCTGGAATTAGACGACTAAACGGGAGGGAGAGAGCCCTGACCTTAGTCGAGCATCACAAAATAATCAGACAAGTGGGATAATTCGGTGTCACGCCCGAAAATGACGACAAATCCTGTCTCGTTTCCGCTTTGAAACACGTAGGTGAGACCGCGGCAGATTGTAACAAAAAAAGTTTTCACAATTTTTTCTCAAAAGTGTTTCCCTCAATCAGGAAATAATTTGTGTGACTTACTGCTCACATCTTTGGTCAACTCATTGAGTGTAAATATGTGACAAAATCTTTGATACTTAGACATTTATGTTCATCTTAAACTAATCTGAACTTTTGTTACAATGTGCCCCAGCCCGGGGTAAATTGTAACACGTCTGTTTTATTTAGTTGAACACAAATATGAATACAAATAAACATTTCCAAAAAATATAAATGAAAATGCATATGATTGTTAAATTTAAACCGCTTTAAATTAAAACTTACCCCGTGTTACAACCTTCCCTGGTTTCCCCTAGAGAAAACATAAACAGTACCTGATGGTAAACGATTTCTGTGACCACCTCGAGGACTTCCGGTTCTTCTATCGAATATCCTGTAGTACCACCACCTACATAAACCACGTTTTTTCTCTCGCGGATTACACGTTCTCCGCGCAAGCCTGGCACGCGCGTTCGCCCGATCAGTCCAGTTTCGCATCCGGCACAGGTAGATACTGGGGAAAGGTCGAACGGCCCGACCTGAATATGTTGAATGGTTACGCAATAATTGTGTCGCTACGGCCCCGGTTTTTACGGTGCAAGGCTGTCACGGTGGAACTGGCGAACGAGAATAGGCTTTGTGATTAGAATAAAATCAAGGCGATGGATTTTCATGCGTGCCCCCTTCCTCTCGGAACATCGGTTCACGACGACTGAAGGAAGCATTTCTGATCCAAAACAGTTCGTACAGATCCGTGTATGCGGGTCGTTAGAGTGAAACGAAACGAGAAAGGAATCGATAAAATTTTGTTTCGATCGATACCTGAGGACGTGTAGAAGAGCGGGTTCGATCCACGGGGAACAAAGGAAGATTTTTCGAGGCGCCGGTGCGAGGAGCACCTGGAAAGCCCGACGGGAGGGACCCACCATTCGGAGGATAGCAGCGGACGGGGGAATAATATTGGGAAGTCTGCAGCTGTCACAGCAGCTGCAACCCTCCTACCCTGCTCACAATCTGACCGGCAGCTTTTCTGCCTCCTCCTCCTCATCCTCCACCTCTGCCACCTTCTCCTCGTACCACCGGCACCTCGTTCTCATGCTCTAACTTCTGTTTCGCGTTCCTGGCCCTCGTTCCAACCGCTTCGAATTATTGCTTTAGAAAAACTACCCCCACGAACGGAGCGTTCGACGATCCTTTTTGCTGCCTCTACGAACTTGTCGGTGGATCTTTTTTTTTAAATTTTCAAAAGTTTTTCCCGTTTATCCACCGATCGAAGCAAATATGCGTTTATCGTTGGTAATTCTAGTGTTAAATAAAGTCGAGTTCAAGGGCGAACATTTTCGACAGGATAGTGAACGTTGAATGAATCTTCTCTAAGAAAGTGGAAAGAAGAAAAATGTCGCAAACAGATTCGCAGCAAGTGGGAAAGAAAAAAACAATCCGTATAGAAGTAAAACGCGCAAGATACTGTGAGAAACCGAGGTGAAAAACCTGTAATATCACGAAGCACAAAGCTCCAGGAAATAAAACATTATACGTTTCGTGCTCGATAAATATCCCGGAGAACGTGAAATGAAAGCGCGAAGGGAGGAAATGAATGTGCCCTCGGCACTTTAATGGGCCGTTCTTCAAAGCGGACCCTCTTTCCCCTCGTTTCCGTGTTCTGACGAACATGTGGGTGTATCTAGGCTGAACCGGGCCCTAGCTCAGGGCTGAGCAATCATCCCCCTTTCGGAGCCAACCACCGAGACGTCGACCATCCTCGGCTCTCTATCCGAGGAGGAATGCTCACGTCGGTCAGCTGCTGCTCCTCGTGTAAAACTAAACTTCCTGCGCCACGTGCACATCTGCTCCCCTTACACCACCACGGGTGGGGGTAATCTGATGGTCCCTGGACATGCACGACCACGCGTAGCCTCGTGTATTTTAAAAGCTTTCGAGAATATATCGACGATATAATTTCAAAATTTTTCCCCGTCTCACAATGGTCCCGAATTCGAAACCTAGCGGTTCAAGTGGTCAAAAGAAATCGTTTTTATCTTCCAAGAAACTCATATTAACTTATTATTAATCATGTAAGATCTGTTCTATGCATTATTAGATCGTGTAAACCCCTTACCCTAACAGACCGACGAGGATGTTCGGTTTATTACGAGACTGTCGAGGAGACGGTTTTAATTAACCCCTCGTTTCAATTCATGGAACGACAATGGCCCCTGGAGCGGGCGTTCGATCGACGGGACCGGAAGTCGGAACTGCTGCGACATTTTCTTACATTTCTCAGATCTATTGCACTTTTTGTCAATTTATAAATTTCTAAATTTTCAAAAGTTTTTCACGTTTATCCACCGATTGAGGCAAATATGCGTTTATCGTCGGTTGTTCTAGTGTTAATATGGCCAGCGACTGTACACTCGTCGTGGCCCTGCACGAAAGCGACGATCGTTACGAAACTCAACCTTTTCCGCGGCATATTTTCCATGAAATCGTGTTCGTGAAATTCTTCACTCACTCTCTCTCTCTCTCTCTGTATCTCTCCCACGTTTATCCCCTCGATAAATCTAAATCGCGCGATCCACGTCAAACAGTTTATGTTTGTTGGGTCGACTGTACACTCCACCAGCCGAGGAGTCGGGTAATTAACGCGACACTAGAATTGATACCCATTGCTAATACTCAACAAATCATTTTTAACCACAATCCTCTATCTCGTGGTTGCACGCGGGGAAATTCACCTCATTCAAATGAAGATTCCACGAGTATTTGTTCTCCACAGAAACTGACGGAATTTCACCGTTAAAAAGAATAAACCTTAAGCCTTTATAACGTTAGAAATAATGGGGACGCTACCTATAACATCTAATTATACACTGAAGTATTTCATCCTAACCGTTTAAACATTTATTTTTCAATTGCAAATAAAGTTAAATAATTTGCAGTATTGTTTCGGAGAAGTCGCTGGAATTCGCGCAAATGGGACACCCTGTACTCTCACGTGGCTGTGTAATCGGCCTTAAGGATAAACGGATACAGACACATGCACGTACATATACACACACTCGACGTGAGCACATTCGCAGGCAGGGAGGTTCGTATCACAGAACGGCCAAGTGAAAGGATAGGCACGAGTTCATCTTGTGTCTCAACCTCCAGCCAGCCTTCTCGCCGTATATCCTTTCGTGCCGCGAGTGCGTCACCTATAACGACGAGCACAACGGTTCATTCCAGCCGCGATCGTTTCATCGACAAACGACGAGTTTGCCTTTTCAATTTTACCCGGGAAACTCTGGATAAGTACTCTCTGCCTCCACTTGCCCATATTATTATATATAAACACTACTGGATTTGGGCGACCTTGACAATCGTCGACTGACAAACGAAGATGCGATCGGTGTGATAACCAATGATGAAGTATTCAGACTAGGAAGGGAACGACAAATTTTATATTAATATTCATTGGCGTAACCAGGTAGAGGCCAGGGTGGGACTGCCCCCCCCCCAGAAAAAACTTCTAGTTGCGTCAATGTTAATATTTCTAAATAATGTATTAATATAACTCTATTGACTATTTAGAAAAAACCGTTCAAATTGCTGTAATCTGTTGAAATATGAATAAATGATCATAAAAACCCCGAAATTTAATTTATCCCCAAACCTTTTTGATTCGACGTACCACTGGCGCCCCCTTTCTCCGCAAATTTCCACCGATAACACGCGCCGTCGAAGCTACGACGGCACAAGCGTATCGATTCTGCGAGTACACGCGGTTTCGCGTGGAAACGAAGCATTATGCGTGGTCACGCGGGTTCCTCGGCGGTGCACGGCGGAATAGTAATTTGGTGTGGTCGGTGTACGTACAGATACGCGACGGGGAACGCAACATCTTGCACCGGAGTGCGGAACATCTGTTCGCCACGGCGCTAAATCGCTGCAGGCCTCGAGGCGAAGAAAAGAGAAAAAAAAAAAAGGAAAAATGGGAAACGTTTCGAACTGTGACTGGCCGTGCGGCTGGGTAGCGACGTGCCAAAATCTCGGTGTGCTCGATCTGAAAGATGCACCTGCATCGCGGGTCTGCATGTGCGCGCCCCCCGATCACCGGCCAGATGCGCCACACACCCATCGCTAAAATCGAGGACACGCGCGTTCTCTAGCCGACGGAGGTCCTTAGAATTTTCTTAACTCTCCCGCGACACGTCTTCTATTTAAATAGAATGGTTAATAATTAAAAAGAAATGGTGCTCCAAAAAATGTCCGATTTCGCATGGAATGACCCATTAGTAACGTCATACATGCATACTCGTGACTAGCGATTTAATATGGGTACAGATGAGAACAGGTTTTAAATAGATAAATACGTAAACTTTAAATAAATACATAAATTTGCAAAATTTAAAAAAATAAATGAGGATTCTGTAATAGTCAGGATGATTGTAACACCCTGTATTCGATGAATAACGTGCACCTTGCTAAATGAAAGCCCGGGCGAATCAAGAAGCCGTAAAATGGAACCTCGGTCTCCTTGTGTCATCGCTTTTCACGACTCGCACACGTTCCAATGAACACAGCCACTAGAATAAACAACATCGATTCCGGTAGCCCCAGCAAGCAACTGACTTGCGATAAATAATCTGAGCTAACGTGCTGAAACGTTACCTTTAATCAAAATAGTCGCGTCCAAGGACTACGAGGTTCAGCTAACGTGGAATTAATTACGACATACGCGCGCAACAGGCGCTCGAGTTATGCGAATCGTTTCGTGAGACTGTTACGATTGTACAAAAACGTGGAGTCATAAGGTATCATCCAATATATTTGAATCGATTATCTACGGACATCAAACGAAATCGCAACGTCTGGAAATTCGTTAGGATGTTCCCCGAATAATTTACACCCGGTGAAAAACAGGATCATGAAATCCACGCGTTAATCGGTGCGTTATCGGTCTCGCGTAATAGGATATTTTGCATCGCCCACGGTCGCTTCCCCCTTTCCTTTTTCCAACGGTAGAGCTTTTTATCGGACGGTGTCATGCGACCAGCACGATCGTGTATATCCCGACCGTCTTCCGCACATGGAAACCAGAGTAACCAGTGCACCGAGTATAAAAAGCTGCAGCTGTCACTGGCACGGCAGCTGCAACGCCGATGCATCGTGGGCATAGCGATGGGAATAACACGATCCTAAGTCGTTCCCGTAGGCCACGGCGATTTCCAATTTCGCGTCGACAGCGATTTCCGCGTGCAAGGTTCAAATCACTCGAATTTCGATCATATCCCCTGTTATATTCAACCTACGGTCGATGTTGAACTACCAACACAAAATTACCCTTAACCGAGACCTGACACCATCCTTATGATTTATTTTGCCTCCTCCTAATACTCACAACACTGTGACAGGATTCCCGACATTGTGCGTTAATTTCTATCTCTGTTGAATATATTATACCTAACACCATCCTTGTGATCCAAATTGAATTCACATCACTGAGCGGAAATTTCTCTTCCTAACGGATGTAAAGAAATGGTTCCAAGAGTTATCTCGAAAAATTTTCACCCCGAGTTGATCGTGAAGGACGTATCACAGCAGAGCCCCTACCGGCTGTTTTCGGAACTAAATCGTTCAAATAGATTCTAAATTGCTCACCAGGGTGCATTAGAATCTTGTGTAAGCTTTCGGTTTCTTTGTCACACAAAAACACTTAAAAAAGCCGTAAAATGGACGTCTTAGAGGCGTCGTGTGCTATCTGGGTAGACTATGAATCCCAGCCTGTACGTATACGAATAAATCCTATAAGTGGAGACGTTCGAGAAAATACCCTGTTGATAGGTCAAGTCTAAAACTTCCCTGGACTCGAAAGCAAGCGTTCGTAACCTAGTCGGCTATTCTTGGGCCAGTCTCCATGAATGAATCCCGTGTTTGGAGAACCTGAATTTCCAAATCGATCGCGATTCGTGAAACGCGGCCAGCTCGGCCGGGATTCCGTAGCTAGAGGGCCCAGAAGGTGGCGGATAAAAACGGGCATCTCTAATCGGACAGCCTCGATCGTTCCAAAGCGTTACGGCCGTTTATCGACTGGTGGCGGCAGCATTCCGTGCAT